ATCTTATTGTAAAGTGTTTTTAATACTACAGTTTCTTCCAATTGATATACACTTAATATATGTAATCTTATCTAAATTTATTATAAAAGCTGAGGTTTGTTATTTACTGAAAAGTTATATTTTAGCTGGTGTCAATGATCTAATGTTGCATTTGGTCAGACTCAGCCCATTGCTTTACTGAAGTATATTATATTTTCCTTTTACAGCTGCAGACTGAGGAAGATCCTGAAACACACCAGCAAACCCTAAAACAGACAACAGTTTACAGATGTTTTTCAGTGGCAGCAGAACTATGACTAAACTTTTGGGTGAAACTGGTTTACTTTTTTCTTACTTTTATTACTTGTGGGAAAACTTGAAACACTTTTAAATAAGTATAAAGAATGGCATTGGTTTTGTACATTTAATTTTTGTTTAACATTATTAATACAAATGTTGTTCAATTAGCATGTTTTTGTGTTTTACTTTGGTACCGAAATTGGTACCGAGAACCGTGGATTTTCACTGGTATCGGTACCGAATACTGAAATTTTGGTACCGTGACAACACTAATATATATAATATATTAGCTGTAGAAAAAATTACGAAAAGTGTATAGACAAATATACATGATTTATTACACAATTGTTAACATGGATGAAATGTTATTCTATACTGTTTCAAAGTTAAATATCCCAGCCAGAGGCGTGGATAAACTCACTGTTTACCTGAGAGCAGCAGCATTTAACTAGTGTAATCGAGTGTGAAGAATTCAGTCAATACTGTTAGCACTCATGTTTGCTGTCCACACAGGCATGACAGCATTTGTTTATTTGGCTGTATTTGTCTATATGGCTTGCTTTTGAATGCCTAAATAAAAGACTTTGATGCTCACCAAGGCTGCATTTCTTTGAAATATTGTGAAACATTATTACAATTTAAAATAGCCGTTTTCTATATTAATATCCTGTGATAACAAAGCTGACTTTTCAGCAGCCATTACCCCAGTCTTCAGTGTCACATGATCCTTCAGAAATCATTCTAATATGCTGATTTGGTTCTCATGAAATATTTCTTATCAATGCTGAAAACAATTGTGCTGTTTTAAAATCTATTGGAAACAGTGATCAGTGATACATGTTTTCAGTATTCTTAGATGAATAGAAAGTTCAGAAGTAAGTGCTAAGTTCCAATGCATCGTACCATAGTAACCATAGACCCAAACTGTAACTACAACATACAGTAACTAAAAAAGAAAACTTCAGCCAAACTGTAACCTACAAAACATTGTGTTTGGTGGTACATTGCCCTACAGAGGTTAACGCTCGATACAATAAACACTGAATTCAACACTACAGTAGATTTGTTTTGAACATGTGCTTTTGCTTCAGGTAAGGCATAATGTAAATCAACCAATTATTCTCATAAAACAAACCCTGACAAGAAGATTTGTACCTTGACATAACGTACGGAGGAGTACTACATCACTCTGAAGGGGGTTTATTTTAAAAATGAAAATAATAATGTTTTTTATTATTTACTTACTTGAACTTGTCGAGTTGAAATTGTACTATTCCAATTATATTTGATTAGCTTCAAGCTTCTGCTAACCAAAAAGCCCATTCCCAGTAGCATCAGTCAGTTGCCATGGACAATGTGCAAATATATAAATTTTACCCCTCAATGTCACATAAGTATAAGACTCAAATAACTAGAGCAAAGAATAATGGTGGTGTCTCTTTTTCTAAATTATTGGTCAAATGCTAGACTGTTTTAAATTAGTTTAGATAATTAATGTAATTGATGTGCTCTATATATTTCTCTGCAATTATTCCTCTAGATAACTGAATTTGACTGATGTTTTTCCACATACACCGTCATACTGCAAGCCAGTCTCACAAATACAATTAAAAATGTCAGATTCTGCCTGGCACTAGCGAAAATGTAATACTAAAACACAAATTCTGAATTCAAACAGATGATTCTAAATACAATGAGAGCAGATGAAAGCCCTAAAGTGTTTGAAGACAGCATGCGGGTTCCAGTAAAGATGGAGAATGAGCTGGGAGAGCAGACAGAGCATCGCCTCAAGGAAATGGGCGCCCGCTGTGAGGGGGAAACCTTAGAAGTAGAGTACTACTACGATACTGACAGCTTCCAACTGGCTTCTACACAGACCTGGTTGAATCAGCATAACGGCCAATGGGGACTGATCCTGGCAGAAGAACAGGAGCTTAATCACACTCAATCATACAACACCAAAAAATTGGAAACTGGACATTCTGAAGAAAAGAGAAGCAAAATACTCAACTCATCACATGATGAAAAATCGGAAACAGGTGCTGCCTTTGGAGAAACATCTAATGAGTGTCCTGAGAAGGTCTTAGATACATCACTGACATACACAGAACTGAGTGAGCCATGCTCCATCATGCTGCATCTCTCAAAGTGTCTCCAGCTCCCTCTGACCCACACTGAAATGAAAAGTATGACCATGAAGAACTTCTTGAACTCGGCCCGGATCCAAATGTATGACAGCTGGACCAGTACCAGCACAGTGAAGTACTCTCTGCCTGGTGGCTTCTCTCTGGTGGTGGAGAGAAACTACAGTATTCCCACTGAAACTGCTACTGCATTTTTGATGATGAATGCTGATGTGCTGAGCATAATCAGTGAGCTGGAAAAGATGGATCAGCTGTGTAAAGAACTAGGCCTAAAACCAAAGGCAAGCTCAGATGAACAATTATAAATGATTGTCGAAGCCTAGCAGTTAGCACATACGCTCTTGATACAAAAATCTGTAGTGGTCATATGGACATCTCTTCATAAATACCTGTCCTGTTTTTACTTCGCAATTAATAAAAGAGCCAAAAATAAAACTCTCTTTTAAAAATAATATCTCAAACTGACAAACTTATAAACAAACTTTTTTGAGCATATAATCTACTTTTTATAATATAATATAGTATAATATACAGTATAATGGACCCTTTTTCCAACTGCGGGGTTCTCAGAAGCAGAAGTTGTCATAGTTGGGTAAACTTCTGGTAAACGCTACCACAAAAATATTTTTGTGTTTCCATTTGCTCCAATAGCAAAAAAAAAATAAAAATACACGATAGCATTTCTATGACTTTCCAAAGGAGGAAAAAATATGGAGAGATTGATTACAGTAGTTAGAAGCAAGAAAGATGTCAAAATGTGACATCGCTCCCTCAGACTTGGTTAGAAACACCCAGACAGCAGCACTGATTAGATTTCTGAAATTTAATGTCAAGGTATTAATATAACACAAAGTATATTTTTATAAATTTAACATATTTAAAATAATAATAATTTTATTTTAAAAATGCTAAATTTACAATAGTAATAAATGTGGAAACTTATCACAGTATGTGAAAAGGGTAATATAATATAATAATATAATATAATATTTACATTTAGATTTTGTCATTTAGCAGACGCTTTTATCCAAAGCGACTTACAAATGAGAACAATAGAAGCAATCAAAACTAACAAAAGAGCAACAATATGTAAGTGCAAATGACAAGTCTCGGTTAGCTTAACGCAGTACACGTAGTAAGAAAAACAAGTAAATAGAATAGAAAAAATAGAAAGCTAGCGTTTTTTTGTTGTTGTTTTTTTTTTATAAAAAAGAAGATAAATAGATAAAGTAGAATTAAAATATAATAGAAAGTGCTAGAGTTAGAGATGGAACAGATGTGTTTTTAGTCGTTTCTTGAAGATGGCTAAGGACTCAGCTGCTCGGATTGAGTTGGGCAGGTCATTCGACCAGGAGGGAACAGTTAATGAAAAAGTCTGTGAAAGTGATTTTGTGCCTCTTTGAGATGGCACAATAATGCATCATTCATTTGCAGAACGCAAGCTTCTAGAGGGCACATAAGTCTGAAGTATTTAACTTAGGTAAAGGGGTGCAGAGCCAGTGGTGGTTTTGTAGGCAAACATTAATGCCTTGAATTTTATGCGAGCAGCTACTGGTAGCCAGTGCAAATTGATGAACAGAGGTGTGACGTGCGTTCTTTTCGGCTCATTAAAGATTAATCTTGCAGCGCCCTTTTGGATTAATTGTAGAGGTTTGTTAGAAGTGGCTGGAAGACCTACCAAGAGAGCATTGCAATAGTGCAGCCTGGATAGAACAAGAGCTTGAACAAGGAGTTGTGTTGCATGTTCTGAAAGAAAGGGCCTGATCTTCCTAATAGGGTCTTTTGCACCACGGGAACCTTTTCATAGTACCAGAACTAATTGTGGAACTACCCACTTTTTGACGTTTTCGCACCGCCGGAACTGGGTGCGATTGTAATACCGGACTGCCTTTTTCGAGAACCAAATTAGCTCCTACTCCGGAGCAGGGTCTAACCAGCACAACTGGTACTAATCGTGACATAAGTAGACATTGATTGGCTACGTATACGTCGACTTTCCATGTCCATTATTGTGAAACCACCGAGACACAACAACAACAGCTCCGATCAGAGCATCCTCCATTCTCCTGTTGTTAATGTTGTTCTTTGTTTCTGTTGTTGAAGCTTCGCACAAATGACGTCGCTGTCGACCGGCTTACGTCACTTCTTAGTACAATGCCATTTTCCAATGGGGTTGACAGGAGAATCTGGTGGTTCACCGTATCGAAAGCAGACAGATCCAGCAAGGTAAGTATAAAAGATCGGGAAGCCGCTCTTGCCAGTCTTAGGGCTTCAACAACTGAAAGCAAGGCAGTCTCGGTCGAATGTCCACTTCTGAAGCAAGATTGGTTGTAGTCCATAATGAGACTTGGTTGAACACAACTCGTTCAAGTGTTTTTGCAATGAAAGGTAGAAGGGAAACCGGTCTGTAGTTCTCTAAAAGAGTTGGGTTAAGAGTGGGTTTCTTAAAAAGTGGGGTTATACGAGCCTGTTTAAATGTTGAGGGAAAAACGCGAGTGTGAAGGGATGTGTTAACGATGTGAGTGAGTGCAGGTACAACGGCAGGAGAAATGGCTTGAATGTCAGCCTCAGAGAGTGGAGAGAAGGATGAAAACGAGTGTGTGTTTGCTGGTAAGATGTGTTTGAAAGTTTGGGGTGTGGCAAATTGTGCACTGAGGTTTGTAATTGTATTAATGAAGACAGTGGAGACATTCGCAGAGAATGAAGAGAGGAGTGATCGATATACATTAAGTTTTAAGGATTTTGTGATTTGCGCCATACTCTTTCTGCAGCTCTGAGCTTACAACGATGCTCACGGAGAACATCAGATAGCCAAGGGGCAGAAGAGGTGGTACGAGCTGGCCTGGAAGACAAGGGGCAGACAGTGTCTAAACAAGATGTAAGAGTGGAGCAGAAAGTATCAGTAGCAGTGTTAACACCAAGAGATGATAACAGTTCAGGGGAAGGAAGCGAAGATGAAACCATAGCAGATAGCCGGTAGGGTGAGAGTGAGCATAGGTTACGTCAAAAAGTGACATGTGGAGGGGTATGTGTTGTGTCAGGAACCATGTTGAGGTTAAGAGTGAGGAGGAAGTGATCCGAGGCGGGGTGTGCAGTGGAGTAACCAGTACATGATCAGTGGAGCAGTGTCGTGTGTAAATAAGGTCCAGTTGGTTGCCTGATTTGTGAGTAGCCATAGTTAACACTCTCTTGAGATCAAAAGAGGCAAGCAGAGTGTGGAAGTCTGCAGCCTGAGGTTTATCTAGGTGGATGTTGAAGTCTCCAAGCATAACTAGGGGTGTACCATCCTCAGAAAAGGTTGAAAGCAGCATATCTAATTCATCCAAGAAGTTACCTTGTGGTACTGGGGGTCGATAAACAACTATAAAATGGATTTTAAGAGGGTGGGTAATACTGGCTGAAGGTTAAGGTTAAATTATTTATGCAACTTTTTAATGTTAACATTTTATTAGTATGCAGAAATTAATATTAACCAAGATTAAAAACGGTGTAGAAATATTGATTTTTATTGCAGTAGCTAAAGTTAACATATATAACTGTAAAGTGTTAACATTATCAACCACATTATTCTGTATTAGGTTACTAATAAGACATTTTTTCCAAACTAAAACTACTACCCAAAACAGCTAAAATAACAATTGCCGTTTTAATATCTGAAATGGTTCTTTCTAACAATTTTGTTCCCTAAAGACTCACAGGTGTGATTTTGCCCCATTTCATCTAAGATACAGATTTAGCTGAAGCACTCGCTGCTGAGACACTACAGCTATAGTTACTATGGCAACTGGGAGCAGAAATGTGTTCATATTTTTTTATATTATACACATGAGGGCAGAGCAGTCTGCAGGCAACAATCTGCCACATTGGATGTCTGACATGTTCAACATTGGCAATGTTTATTGTCCCCGACTACAGAGAACCTGCTGCATTGTACATCTCTCTTTTTCTGTGTATGGATTCTCAACAATACAACATTTATTTCATTTGACAGATACTTTTATCTAAAGTGACTTACAGTGCATTCAGGTTATGTTTTATCAAGATCTGTTGTTCCCTGGGAACTGAACCCATGACCTTGTCATTGCTAATACTCTACCATTCGAGCTCCAGGAACTCTAAGGTCTCAAACAAACAGAAAACACAGGTTGCTCCTGAAACAATAACATATTTTCTCATCAGCACTTGCAGCAGACAGCAAATTTCACGGAGGCGTAACACACAACAAAACAACACAATATAATGTAACAGATTCTCCACCCTAGCACACACTTGAAAGTTTGCCATCAACACTAAACGTTGAATACAGGAGCACTAATCAGCAACTGAGAAACATAATGTGGAGGATAAGAAAGAACACATCACTATGTTAAATATACTAAAAGTAAAAGAACTTCACTGGTAAATTACACAACACAGTCACACCACTATATGATGAGAAGATAACATTGTCAATGTTGTTAAATAAGTAAAAATAAGTAAAGGGGAGGGAAGTAACTGCAATAAATAAATAAGAGATGCCAAAGAAACTAAAGGCAAAGAAAAAACAGGTCTGCAAGCTCTGCAGTTGTAAATTTGACTTAAGTTTTAATGTCACTTAAAGTCATTAAACATTACATTTAACAGGTAAGTAGTTTTTGAGTGTATTTTGAATAATTCATATTTATAACAATATATATTAATCAGTTTCATAAGTATACACTGTATGAGTGAACATTAACTACAGATTTGTAGTATTATTAAATGCAATGAAGTTATACATGCTAATAATAAAATTAAAAACCTGCATAAAAACCTACAGGACAAACTGTGTCTTTGAACCATCAATATAACTTTACAAATTATATTTACAACTATTTGTACAACTTGGAATAAAGAATTGGATGGCTACTTTGTACTATTGACAAACAGAATCATTTCTGTAGTGTAGAGGCTCCTAACCATGAGGCCGGGGCCCACTGTAGCAAATTTTCAATGGGGGCGCAGTTGTTGTTGTACAGTATTTAAATTTATGTCCAAATCAGCTTTACATGCTATTACATGGCAGATACAAATTCAACATTCAACAATATAATACAATAAATATAAGTATAATAAATACAAATATTTAAAATAAATGCATAGAAAAAAAAAACATTAGTGAGGAAAAAAAGAAAAAAATTCCATATATGCAACTCTATAAAAGATTCTTTGAATGTACTTGTGTTGTGATAAAATCTGTATAAGTGTCCATCTTACAAAATAGATCCATCAAAGTCTGCCCTGATAAAAATGGTTGTTTCATGAAATAAAAAATTGGGCAAACTAAAAACATATGTTTTACAGACAAGTTACAAAAACTGCTACAAAACTGACAATTTGGTGCTTCTTCACTCTCCAGTAAATGTCATGATAGTATCCAATAGGGCCACAGGATGATTATTGTTGTTGTCATTACATTAAAATAATCTTACTTAATTAGGGAGATAAAAAAAAAACACAACAACAACTTTTCTCAGAAATCTAAATGGAGGAAATATCTTATATAGGTGAACTTCGAATATTGTGTTGGACAACGGGGGCCCCTCAAGTCAACCATGTTGAGAACCACTGCTGTAGAATGTGTAATGACCTTTAAAAAGGTTAATAATAAGACTCTGTCTTTGTTTTAAAAATATACAAGGTACAGTCATATGTGCCACATTATGCTTTGGGATCAGTAAATGAACTAAAAAATGTGATAAACTGTTATAGGTGTGTGTGACTGTGAACCAACAGAAACATCCATTATTTAATCTGTGGTGCTGGCAAAGAGTAAATGTAAAAAGTATTAATATTACTGTAATGCATCAGGGACGTTGAGACCCCAGAAATATAATTGTCCTTCACTGCAGCTTCCATCAAACATTGCCAGATAATAATAAATAACCAGTTAGCAAATCAATTTCAGTTTTAAATGTAACTTTAATTGGATGTAAATTTAATATTGCCTATATTGATGCTAATCACTCATCACAATTTACCCATAATCCTAAAATGTAACACACTTACATAAACATGTACTTTGCACTTTCCACAATGCCAATGTAAAAGTGCAACTACTGTAACACATAAACACAGGTGCTTTCCAAAGTCAAGGTAGTCCCTCCAGACCTTAACATCAGCCACGTAAACAAACACAGAAGACTGGTTCCTTCCAAAGCCCCAAACAAAACAAAACAAACAAGCTCTCTAAACTACAAATAAGCACATATCAACAGAAGCACAATGCAGAACAGCATCAGAGAGTATATTGCTTTAAGCTGTCTGTCCGTTATAGTATTGCTGAGATTCTCACTCTTTTGAAAAAGATGTAACTTCTCTCTCATATTTGTAACGGTTGTTTTAATAATACGACAGTGCAGGTATAACTATCAGAGCATATTTCTGAATACCGATGAGCCACCACATAAAATCTATTATTCCATCCTCCAGTTTGCATAGGGCATTAAAGAGATCAGTATCTTTACAGCAAAATGGTATCATAACATCTGACAAAGAGCATCCTGCATATGCACGCTGCTTTAGATGTAATGGCGCCATGCATCATATTGACAGTGTGGTACCCAGCTGGGTAACGTTAGAGGCAGACGACCCCCCGCGACGCAACTCCATCCCTGCTGATGCTGTTTTCATTTGCGCTTGATGCTCTAAACAGATACAGTTCAACTCACCTGTCAATGAAAATATGCCACTGTCCTCGTCCCCGCTGTTGAGATGCACGCGCCGGTCAACGCGAAGCTTATGTCGCTGTACTGCAGCACGACCTTAAGGACACACAAAATCCAATTTGAAAGGATTCACTCGCATCCACTGGGCAATCTAAGCCTATTTGAGTTATTCCGCTCAGCACACGGCCGTCGTTTGAGCAGGTATGATGAGAAACGGTGAGGGCAGTCCTGTGTGAAGAGACGATGTTATCGGATGCTGGAGATGCGGGTCATTTGCCAACACAGCTGGGCATCGACATCAGGAAGTGTTCTACCCATACCGTTTGATGGACAGATGATTTGACCAATCGCGTGGCATCTGGGCGAACGCCAGGTTCCGCCCTCATACTCGAATGACCAATCATTAATTAGGCCAATACTGTCGCGCGCATATGTCGCCCTGTTTTGTAAAGCCTACGCAGCGTTGGAAATGTGTGTGGAAAGGGGTGCAGGGTAACAGGTTTGTTTAATTTTGATATTCCTTTTGAAGAAATGTAGTGTTCATTTTTCGTTTTTGAAGAAACTGAGGTATTTTTATTCTTTTTTTTTAAAAGATTTTGTTGTAAGACGTTTTGCTATTATTATTTATTGCGTATATTTATATAATTTGTTTGCTGATTTTAGGCCTATGATAATTTAGCAGAGTGGCATGTATTTTGTATATGTATTAGCACAAATAAAGCTTATAATTCTTATAAAAGCTTATAATTCAGTGTTCATAGATAGGCTACTATTATATTTGTATTCATTTTTTATACTAATTTATTTCAGCCAGTCAGTTATTTATACAAGTAACCCATTTTTTCATGGTTATCGTTTTCGTTAACTATAATGATCCTTTGTTTTGGGATGCTACAACCCTCCTATATGTAAATATATTGAAATTTTGTTTACTTTTTGTATGTGATAATGAATACAGTTAGGGCATTGCTTTTCACTTGAACTGTACATTTATTTTCAGGTAAAGCAAAACATTTTAATGATTTTTCATCTACTGTATAAAAAGTGACACACATTCAGACTTTGATTTAGGTCTATGGTCCTGCTTGAAAAGTCACGTTAAAGCAGTTTATAGGACATGGTATTATTTGTTACTGGTCCAAAATGGGTTGCCAGCTCTAACCAGCTTGATCAAAGTCCACCAGGTCAATGTTGGCCCCACCAGCTGCTAGTCCATCTGACAAATCATCATCTAGATCTAGATCCCATTCCAGTTCCATCATGATACATTTTTGACTGATATATTTAGAGATATTTAGATGGGTCATTAATAATGTATTGATTATTATTATTCACTTGCAAAATACATACAATTTATTTCAATAATTTAAAAAAAGAAAACTTTGAAATAAAAATTAATTAAAAAATATAAATAAGGATGTTTATTCAAAATCAATATGCACAGGTCCTGCTCAAGGGCTTATAAAATGTAAACTGTAGCTGCAATACCTCTGCATATTACTGCTATTTTAATTGACATTTGCTGTACATGTGCTCCATCTAGTGGACATCCGCATTAATGTACAAACAAATACACATTTCAATACGTATTTTGTATGCGTGAATGAGTAAAGCAAAGATATCCAGACATTTTGCCAAATCAGCATCTTTATTGTACAAACAAATGCATTTTTTTATCTATTGACATTTCTTTGTATCATAAAAAAGCAATATACAAGCTTTAAGAACGAAAATAAAAAGCAGCACAGAATGATTATGAGTAAAATATATAATTTGAATAAATATAATTTTATATTTCATGCTATAAAATAAAAGTCATAAATGGCGAGTTAATTGTTACAGCATCGGCGTCAGCTAGCTGCATGTACTTCATAGTTGTATAAAACAGTAGATTTCTGAGGTTCACAGTTGGGTTGTGAGGTTGTATGTATATGGAAGACAGAAGGTTGGACAGAGTGCTACTTATACGATAAGACCTAAAGATCTGCTTTCCTCTGCGATGAAACTCCCATGCATTCGGGAAGAGCAAGAACGGAAACATTTAGGTGCGTCTTACCACACCTGTGAGGCAGACTGTTTTGGGAACCAATGACTGAGGAATTGTTTCCCCACCTGAAGTAAAAGTGCAAGCTTCGTTTTGGACGCACAAAGATCACTGCGAATCCAAAATGGCATTTTCTGAATACTAGTAAACCCTGAGTTCTACTTTTTACTTTTTGCAATGTCCCAAATACATGAGAGAACAAGAGTCTGACAGAGCTTGCATTAAAGGAATAGTCATCCAGAAATGAAAGTTTGATGAAAATGTACTCAACCTCAGGCCATCGAAGAGGTAGAGCAGTTAACTTTATCAGAACACATTTATAGAAATGTCGCATTACCCCATTTGCTCACCAAGTGGATCCTCTGCAGTGAATGGGTGCCGTCAGAATGAGAGTCCAAACAAAAACAATAAACACAATAACCCACAAGTAATCCCCATGACTCCAGTCCATCAATTAATGTCTTCTGAAGTGAAAATCTGCATGTTTTTAACTTCAAACCGTAGTTTCCAACTAAAATACAAGTCCTCGATCCATAGCATTGCTTTCTCCAGTGAAAAAGTCGTCTTGGCTGAATCAGGAGAGAAATATGCACCGATCAAACGTTTATAAGCCAAAACAGTTATAAACAAATATGTTGGTGGATTTTGATGTGAGAGGACAACAGATGTGATTTTTTTCACTGGAGGAAGACTTATTATGAATTATGGACTGGTACTTTGACCAGACGCAACAATTTAAAATTAAAACGGCTTAACGATGGCTTTGTTTGTTTCAAACACACAGCTTTTCACTTCATGAGATGTTAATTGATACAAGTGCGAGTCGTGTGGATTACTTGTGGATTGTGTTGTTTTTATCAGCTGTTTGCACTATTATTCTGATGGCACCCATTCACTCCATTCATTGCTGAGCAAGTGATAAAATGCTAAATTTCTTCAAATATGTTACATCTCGGATTGCCTTAGTACATTTTCAGCATATTTTCATTTTTGGGTGAACTATTCTTTTAATAATTCTGATTGGCCTGTTATATCTGCAATCTCGAAGCATGAAGAAAGAAGATCTTTAGCATACACCATAGCGGCAAGTTACATCTCTCAAAGATCCCTTTCTTAATTGACACAGATAAAAAAAGATGCACCTTTTCACCAGTGACACTGAGGTGGCAGGTCGATGAAGTACAAACAGAATGTGGACTGTGGTGACCACAAAAACAAGAAGCCACTCTGTAGAAGCATATTTGCCCAACCTGTCCAAGTTTTCACATAAAAGTATATCTTAAAACATGAGAAAAAAATCCTCTCCTTGCCATAAATGACCTCAGCTCCCTGACATCCTGAATGCATTCATTTTGAGACACAATCCTCCTGCAATCTGAGAGGCAGCCAGACTCCAAAGAAAGAAAGAAAAAAAAAACGGCTCTAAAAAAGGTTATTGCTTTTGCATATTACACAGTGGAGACATGTTGGAAGTGGAGAACCAATGGAAGACTTCAAGATTTTCTTTTCTTCAATATCTCTAGGTTTAGCTCAGTGTTCATAAACTACCTGAAGTAAGTCAACAGTTAAAAAGGACGAGCTGCACAATCAAAAAGTAGTCCAACAGCCTTCCCTGTAAACACTTCTTTTTTGATTATTGTGCATGGCACAAACTGAACTGGTTTTATATGAACGAAGCGAGTGAAATGGACCATGAGTATCTAGGTCAGTTGGCAGAGCATGACTCTATTAGTACAATTCATTAAATCATTTACAAGTGTGTTAACCCCATATCACCGATTTAACATTTTTTTGCTTATACATTATAAAAACCAAAAAGAAACCTGACCAGTCGTAAAGCACCATTAAAGGGGAAACACATCCCAAGCGATAAAATATTTGAGGCCTTATGAGTCCCATAAATTGGGAGCATTACATGGTCAATTAATCCCTTATGGAATACATTATTTATTATTTAAAAAGAAAATCATTAAGTGCATGCCAGGTGAAATATCACATAAGAGATATAGCTATAAATGAAAATCACTTTCAAGTTTTAAGACAAAAACAAAAAGTAATCTGTAGTTTCGTATTACAACGCGGAGGGCTCCATGCAATTCTACTTGAACAATAAGTGGCCCGGCATGCATATTTCCCCCCAGACCAAACAATATACATAATTCAGCGATCTGCTAACCTGAAAGCATCATAATTCTGATGAGATTATTGTCAAGCATAAATCAACTAACTTTTTAAACTTATTTTTTAAGAGGAAGCTTCTGTACCGTGAAGCTGTTTGATTGTCCCATTTTATTATTTCAGCATATTCACTTTCTATCGAAACTGCATGATTCTGACGTGAAAATCTGTCGCTTCAATGCATATCGATCCCCTACAAATGGGATGTTCCCCATAGAAACAAAAAGAATGATACAGAATAAAACAAATGCAACTATACAGACAGAACCCTTACTGCATGTCTCAATTACGATCTAACAGGCATATTGCTTTTGCATTTTACCATTAGTTCAATATTTTTACAAAAGACCAGGCTGATACATTGATACTTCCAAAAATAACAAACATTTCTGCCTTCTTTGAAGGAACCCCTCATCTCATTCCCATAATCTTGCATGGCAACACAAAAAAAATAAATAAATAAAAAAATAAAATAAAAAAAACCTGCGGTGTGATTCACATACACTTCAATTTAAAAGTTTGGGGTCAGTAAGATTTTTTAAATGTTTTTAAAAGTCTCACAGCAAAAAAGTAATATTGTGAAATATTATTATAATTTAAAATAAATATTTTAATTTATTTCTGTTATGGCAAAGCTGAATTTTTAGCAGCCATTACTCCAGTCTTCAGTGCCACATGACCTGAAACATTTCTTCTTATTAATGTTGAAAACATTAATGTTTTGCTGATCGGGATTTTTATGGAAACCATATTTTTCTTTGATGAATAGACAGTTTAAAATAACAACATGTATTTGAAATACAAATCTTTTTTAACATTATAAATGTCTTTAGTATCACTTTTGATAAATTGAATGCATTATTTCTGAATAAAAATATAAATTTCTTTAAAAAAAAAAAAAAATCTTGCTGACCTCAAACAGTAGTGAAGCCTATGTTTCACATCAAGGCACCGGTTCAATCAACTTCCTTGACAAATAAAAATAAAAAAGTCTGTGTTTGTACCATCACTCTTTAAAGACCACAGAACAACATCCACAATCTGTTCATCAAATACTAAAGCTTACAGCTTCATTCATTGTAAAACAGTATCTCAACAAA